GGGGGACGGGGTAATAAGGATGACGGGGTGCAGTCGGAGGACCCCCCGGCCCGGGCGCCGCGGTCCCCGCTCACCGAACACCACGACGCGACCCTACCCGACGCGACCCGACCCGACCCGAACCCGACGCACCAGGCAGGGAGGCCCCGTCCCCCAACGTCGTGGACGTGAGGTCGCGTCCTCCCTTCCTCGTGAATCTCGGCGAGTTGATCTCCCCCCGATATCCACCGGTTGGGATCCCGTCGTCATTGTCGATTCGGTGACTTCTCTGATGAGACCGTGGGTGTCATGTGTTATCGCCGAGGTTGTCGTTGAGGATTGCCCGGTGGTGGCGTCCCCTCGCCCCCATTGTATCCGGAATAAATCCCCTTTTACGCGAGACTGTTGTGGTTAGTTCGCGAAACGACTCCTTTTGCCGGCTTACCTGAACGACTAGCCCTCAAGCTGGAGCGAATCACATCACACCGTGTTTATTATTATTTTCTTACTTTCGTATGAAGCCGGTGCCGCCCCGTGTTGGCGAGCCTAGGCGAGCCGAGCCCGGCGGGCCGATCCCACAGCATCCCACACCGAGCGCCGCACAGCGCCGCCGCCGGTGAGGCGACACCACTCATTTACCTGAAATGGCTTTTTCGTGATGAGACCACGACCACGGGCTGCTGCGCCATGGCTGCGCCGCGGCCGGGGCCCCCGTCAAGGCCACGGCCACGGCCCGGACCCGCGGCGCGTACATCGCGGTGCCGATGCGGCGCGGGTTCAACACCCGCCGCTCTAATGGCCCGGGCCGCGGGCCGCGCCGTCGCCGTGGTCCAGTGTTTTGCACCACCTTCCCGCCCGCCCGGGGCGCCGCGACGGGCCCCGCGGCGCGTCGCCCCCGAAGATGTCCCTTATTGTGTGATTGTCGTTGCGCAAGGGAGGAGAGTGCCGCTTCTTGTCACCCGGAGGAGTGTGCCGCGCAAAGTGCCGCATGGCAGGCGATGCCGCAGCAGCTCCACCATACCGCGATACGAATTAATTTGCGGCTCATGGCCTCTCGCCCGCAGGCGTGTGGTGTCATGAGAGTGTAACTGCTTGTATAGTAATCTTAGCGATACTTGCGCGCGCACACACACACACACGCACACAAACACACATGCCGTCTCTCCGCGACAACCAACACCACTCAGGTGATAGTTTATGCATTTCTGGAAGGTGAACGCTTCTCCGGCCAAGCAGCGGTGCGCGCCGCGCGGGTCCGCTGGGGGTCACCTGGCCGCCGACATGCACCTGCCGCAGCGGCAGCTGCAGCGCGGCCGCTAGCTCGTAAAGGTCGCATGGGTGCCGAGCGTCGCGCCGCCGCCGCTTCGCTGGCTGGACGGCCTGGGCCCGGGTGGCCTGCACGCGGTGCGGCCTGCGCGTCAGGGGAGGAAGTCTCCGCCCTCCGCGTTTAGGGCTTAACGAGGGGGACTTCAATTTAAATTCAACCATACGCAAGGTTTTTTGTGTTCTTCATTTTTCTAGAATTTTCCTGATTTTCTCAGTTTTTTAATGATTTCTTTTCAGATGTTTTTCCTGATTATTTTTTGCATAGTGTAAACTTTTTTTTAAGTTAAGTACCCCTTACCCCTTGTGCCTTCCCCCTCTGATCTCGCATTGCTGCTGTTTGTAGACATGGTGCAGGTGGAGCTCAACGGGCTGGCCAAGTACAAGCTGGTGGAGACCAACGGCATGGACATCCAGGACACGCCGGCCGGCCGCCTCATGGCGCGGTACTACGTCGCGTTCCAGACGATGAAGTCCTTCATGCAGGTGAGGAGGTCGGGCACAGCGCACAGCATGCCACACTGCGCACGCGGAAAAGGCTTCTACAAATATGTCGGCGTCGTAATGTTTTTTTTTTTTTTTTTTTTTTGTGGCTCGCAACGAAGAAGCACCTTTTGCGGTGTTCCCGCAAATTATAAATCACTGACGCAAAACCTGTAAAAGAATCACCGCGTACTTTTTATGACTCGCTAAAAAGTTCCTTATCTCCCTGTATTCGCACCCTGGCCGGCCGCGAGGTCCCGCGGCTGACACGGTCCCGGCCTGATCCATCGGAAACCCGCTCTCCTTGCTGCAGGTGGAGGGCGAAGAGACGCTGAGCGACCTCCTGGTGGTCCTGTCGCGCGCCGCCGAGTTCCAAGACGTGCAGCTCCGTAACGACGAGAAGGCCGCCCTGAACAAGCTCAACTCGCGCAAGGACTGCGCGCCGGGCCTGCGCTTCCCCATCAAGGGCCGCATCAAGGACCGCGAGTGCAAGGTCAACTGGTGCGTTCTCTCTCCGCCTGTCGTCTGTAGGGATATAACATTTAAAGATCTTCGCAGTAAAATTTTTTGAGCTCATCTAATTGTGTATTTCTGCAAAATGTTTAAAGTGTTCCGGAATTTCCCTGAAATTTCCAAGAACATTTCTCGGCAAATTTTAGGTAACCCATTTCCTTTCTTCAAAATATGCAATAACTGTTTCCTCGTGTGCAGCCTTCTGCAGAGCCTGCTCGGTGGGCTGCACATCGCGGAGCCCGGGCTGCAGCAGGAGGCTGGGCGCGTGATCCGCACGGCGGAGCGCCTGGCGCGCTGCCTGTGCGAGGTGGTGCAGCTGTCGGGGCGGTACGTCGCGCTGCTGTCGGCCGTCCTGCTGCACAAGTGCGTCCGCTGCCAGCTGTGGGAGACGTCCGCCCTGGCGGCCCGCCAGCTGCCGCGCATCGGCCCCGTGCTCGCCGGCCTGCTGGTGGCGGCGGGGAAGACCAGCCTGGCCGCCGTCGCGCAGAGCAACCCCCGCGACCTGGAGCGCATCGTGCTCCGCCTGCCGCCCTTCGGCAACGAGCTCCGCGACGCGGCCGCCGCCGTGCCGCAGCTCGTGCTCACCCTGGAGCGCAACCGGGACGGCGGCGAGGACGTGGTCGTCCTGCAGGCCGACATCGCCAACCTGGACGCGGCACTCAACGACCCCCGCCACTGGGTGCTGGTGCTCGCCGGCGATAGCGACAACAACGTCATCGTCTACGACCGCTTCCCGTACGGACGCCGGCCGCTTCCTTTACGGCTGCGTTTTATGTATCCTCGTATTTTTTCCCCTGTTTCTTTTTAATTCCCAACTCACATTTCAGCATTTCCAAATTATTTCGGGGAACATATTTTACTAAAATAGACTTGTCAACTGTAAGTGCAACGACGGTGAAAGCCCACCTCATCAGTGAAAGCTGGGGTAAGTGTTTCGGTTTGGAATATCGATTTTTTGTCACTCGGCCCTTTTTCTTAACTGTGTCTCCCTACTTGTTTTGTTGCGTAGTTGGTATAGACTGTGAGAAGTCCCTCACCATCAACGAGGACTCGCCACCGCCTTTCCAGGAGCCAGCTGCAAAATCTGTAAGTCTCCTTAAGTATGCCATAATCAACAACAACAGGGCCTCTACTTTAATAACTGTCTTCTTCTTGGGGCCAGCTTAAGAAAAGGTCGACTTTCATGGATAAAATTATGAAGGAGGCCGCGAGCCGTACGAGCGATACGCCGTCGTGCAGGTTGACGGCCAGCGAGGTGAGCATCAAACAAGGCGTCGTAACCTAAACCTAACGCGTAACGACAACGCTCGAAACCCCAAAAATTAAATTTCAGTTTTATATCGTTATTGCAGCTCTCTGAGCGCGTTTTACACGAGAAAAAACATTACAAAAATTCCCGGAAACGCTTCAATAACGCATTGAAGTTGCAATTTTATTTTCGTGTTTATGCGTTTTAGTTACGCGTTACGTTACGACCCCCTGGTGCAAAGGAGCATCAATGAAATGGTCACAGTAGCTTGTAACGTATTTATCATCTGAATACCCTCTTTACGTTCTCTGGGACAGTCCCAGTCCCAGCCGAGCGCCTTGCGAGCTCAGGGTAGGCAACCGGGCCAGGCGCGCCTGTCCGGCGCCTGGCCCGCCCTGCAGTCCGCAGGCGCTTGACTGGACCGTGTCCCAACTAACTGGTTTGTGCTCTGCTTTTCCCCGGGTCTGCAGACGGGCGGTCTCACGTTGTCGCAGCGCTTTGAACGATTCAAAAAGACTCCGAATCTGAGGAGACTGTCCTCCTTGGCAATGGACGACGACCTCGACGACCCCGACGACCCGCCGCCCGGGCCATCCGCACCGCGAGCGACCCCCGCCGCCGGCGGGGTGGACGAGGTGATCGTCATTGAAGACGACGATCACGACAACAACTGGGACATGCCAGACGTGCAGGTAGTGCCCGGGTCCTCTGTTGCGGCCAGTATGGAGTACTCAGCCATTCCCCACCAGCCAACCATCAGAAATTTCTTCAAGCCCACGTCGGGGCTTGGGTCACAAAAGTCTGCACCGCCAGTCTGTGTCGACCTGGAGGATTCATGTGAGCAGCCAACACCCGCCCTGTCAGCCTGGGTTCACTTGGAAGATTCCTACAGCAACTTGTCTCAGCTCGCGGGAAAGCCCGCCTGGGTGCAGAAGTCTGCCCCGGCTCGCAGCGTCGACCACGAAGGCGCGTGGGGGCCGCCCACACCTGCCCCGTCGGCAACGTCTTGTGTGGACCTCATGGACGACTCCTGGGACGAAGACATCCTGCAGGTCACGAGAGCAGCCGAGACCAATGTAACGAGTACGTGGAAAAACAGAAGTAAACATATCCAAAAGAAATTTGAAACTAAACTTTTAATAAAATTTTCATGTGATAATGCCCTTTTTCAGCTCAGCGAATTGTTCGATGGAGACCTCCAACCCCTCCCCCAGGCTACGTGGAGATGCGCCCCGGCTGCTGGGACTTCAACTTCGATATTGGGTAGGCCCATTATCTGTTTGCCACTCAAGTAATTAATTAACTTTCTCTCGACATTTGTTTTTCTTGTTTCCACACTGCTTGCTTTAAACTTGCAGGATTGACGATCTGCTCGACGATCTGCTACAGGACGATGAACACACAGCCGACGCGAAACCGGAGAAGTTTGAGGTGAAAGAGGAACCGGAAACGCTTGACTTCAACGAGTGGTGTGCGCAAGAGGATCGAAACATCCTTGGTCCTGAAACGGAGCTGCTTGCTTCTGACCTCGTCAAGGGCACCGGAACATTAAAGACCTTTGAATTAGAGCATCTGGGGCCCGACAAGTGGTCTGATGGTAATGTCATAGTAGACAAGAAAATGGAATCTACGCCCGTGCAATCGTCTTGGCCTGGTGCAAATTTCACACAGAGCGACAAGTTGCCCGATTCCTACCTTGGATATGACAAATGGCCTGATGCGGATGTCGAACATACCGGAAATTGGTCCGATGAAGACTTATGGACCGGCCACAAGTTACCCGATACCGATGTCAAACCCAGCGCGAACTGGCCTCAACAAATTGGTACATGTCCGGATCAAGTTTCTGAACATGGTGACAAGTTGGCCGGAGTGAAAATCGAGGCAACAGAAAAATTGTCCGATACAAACTTTGAGCAGGGTGACAAGTTACCCGATACGAATGTTGGGTACAGCGACAAGTTACCCGATTCAAACCTCGACCGCGACAAGTTGCCCGGTGTGAATATCGGACACATTGCCAAGTTACCCAATTCCAACCTCGAACGCGACAAGTGTTACAATGTGAATGTCGAACACGCCGACGACCGGTTTGATGTAGACTTTGGGCAGGGCACCAAGTTGCCCGATGCGAATACAGGACGGACGGACGAGTTGCGCGAGGCAAATCTCAGGCTCGACGAATACCTCCCGGTGACCGCTGGCGAGCTCCTGACCTCCAAACCAGGCGACTGCGGGAGAGATAGACTCCCGTTCGTGGAGGGCGAGCAGGTGAAAGAGGCAGCCGCACCCTTGGAGACTGGACCGCCTCGCGAGGCGCCGGCTACCGAGTTTGAAACGCCCCGCATGGACACGAACGCGATGGACCAATCAGTTGACCTGTTCTCTTCCCCGTCAGACGCAGCGGCGGCGGCCCCGCCCGTCGCTGAGGGCGCGCAGACAAATGCGGACCACAGTTGTGCTCAGCAAGAGGCGCTACAGGGCGGCGTTACGAGCGTTGCAAACGCAGCGGGTGACGCGATTCAACGGCCAGACCTGCACGTCGAGGAGCGGGAGCGGGGAGACACCAGTGAGCCCGCGGCCGGAGGAGAACTGCCAGTGCTAGCTACCGTGGTCAGCGTGCCCGACCGGGTCTCGGAGGCGGTCACTGCCACGTCCCCCGCCAGAGGCGGAAGTCCTGCGTCACCTCAAAGGGACACCACTGATGATGGCGAACCGGGCGGCAGTAATGAACTTCAAATTCCCCTCCTTGCGTCAGCAAACATACAAGACAGAGGGACATCGCCGAAATCTAAACAACCGGAAGAAGTTGTTCGAGAAGCCACCTTTCAAGAGCCCAACAGACCACCTTGTGCGTCACTGTTGGAACGTAAATGCATCACCTTTGCAGATGAACTCGTCGGAACTGAAGAGGTCTTTAGAATTCGTTTTTTATGGTCATATTAATTTTATATGCATTTACTAAATATTGTAATTGTTTTTATAGGTAAGTCATGTTTCATCTGTGACGTGCGGTACTACAAAAGCTTTAAGTTCGTCTGAAACGATCCAAGTTTCGGAAATGACTACCAGTTTACCACCAACAACCAACGACCCTCCTGAAGCTAGAGTGTTTGAGGCGAGGTTTGAGGTAAGTTATTGGGCACAAACATGGCATTAATGTTGAACTATTAATTCATTTCTCTTTGCGTTTTAGATTGTTGACCCGGAAGACCCAAGAAAGGGAGAGAGCCGTCCCGGTCAAAGCATTGCACAGTTGGGGAAAACGTATGTCTGCCTGTCCAATCCCATTGGGACCTCGCGCATGAAATCCTGGATCCGTTGTGTGAACATTTCTTTTTTGTAGTTTCCAGAGCGTGCTGGCCGCCAACAAACCAAATCCTGGGACGTGCAACCTGCTCAAATTCCGTCCCCAGAATGAGGGAGCCCACAACGTCGACGACGTGTTGGCCAGGCTGCTGGCGGACTGGTCCAACGGGAAGCCGAGTGGGAAGCCCTCCGCCCGGCCCGCTTCGTCCGTCCCGCCGGCCCCCAGGGCTGCCCCGGGGCTCCTGCAGGGTGCGCTGAGCGGCGCCCCGGCCCGACGCACCTCCGCGGGGATCGTGTCCGTGCCCGCCAAGGCCCCCCAGGAGGAGGTGGCGAAGGTGGACTGCGTGGAGCGCATCCTGCAGGAGGGCGTCCCCACCAGGCTCCTGGGCAAGAGCGTGGTCAAGACCATCAACACGGACCGGCTGCGCGCCGCGGGCGTGATCCGGGGCAGCGGGACGGTCCTCAGCAAGCGACTGGCGTCGGGGCTCAGCGCCGCGCTCGCCGTCGTCACCCAGGAGGCCAAAGAGGCACCGGGCCGCACAGCGACCAGCGACCCGCCCCGCGCTGCACCCCTTACTGGCGAGGCCTGTGTCAGGGGCAGTCCGTGCGCCCCGCATGAAGCGCCTGCCAAGCTCGCTGACACCAATGCGCTCCCGCCAGGCGATCCACCCTGCGCACCGCCCAGTGCTCCCCCCGCGCCCCTAGGCGCCGCACCCCCCAGCTCGCGAGCGTCAGGCTCGGCTGCCAGTGTGAAGTCCGGCTCGACCAGAGCGCCCAGCCTCCTCTCCAGCTTCATCAAGATCCCCAGCCGCGGGGAGCAGGTGGCCGCCGAGCCGGCCGCCCCGGGCCCCGCCGCCAAGCTGGACTGGTTCGAGCGTCTGCTGGCCGAGCCGATCGGAGGCCCGCTGCGGCAGCCCAGGGCCGCCACCTCCAAGCGGAAGGCGCAGGGCGTCCAAGACCCGGGGCCGCGCGAGCCAAAACGTCCCGCCAAAGGGCCCAGCAGCGCGGCGGTCAGCCCGTGGCCGCATCGACTGACACTGCCGCCCAAGGACATCTACGCCTCCAGGCCCATCGCCAAGCAGTACGGGGGGTTCTCCGACTCGATCAGCGTGACCGCCACGCGCTCTCGCAACCCCCCGCCACAACCACCCTCACCACCGGCACGCCGTGCCCAGCTCCACGATGAAAGGTGAGTCCAGTTGTGAGGGTGGTTTCTTCTACGCGTCTGCTCAAAACGCCCCAAGATTCAAACGGGCATAGATGTTCGCTTGGACTCGCGATTATTTGCCTGACGCTCACTAAGTTAAAGTAATAAACTTCTAATACCGTTTCCTCCTCTAGCCCAACGTACCTGGACGACGAGGACGCGGCGGGGCCCTCCTGGAGACGCGGGCACAGCTCGGCCACGTCAGGACGAACGGGCCAACACAACAGCCCCTTATTCGCAGACAACGCTCTCGGGACGTTTGCCTCCCCTTTCGACAGCGAGCTCAGCCTCGGCGTTCCCTTCTCCTCCCGCAGGGGCGAGCATGGCGGTGGGCGCAACAGGGGGGAGGGCGTCGTCAGCGCCATGCAGGTGCAGGCCATGCTGCAGGACGACGAGGCTGTTTTGTTCGACCGCAGTCGCCAGCGCTCGCCCCGCTATCGCGAGGGCGACGACGACGCCTGGCACCGCGCCGGTGCGCGTGAGCTGCCGTTGCCCACCGGCTCCCCTTCCAGGCCTTGGGAGGACCTCGACGACGACGTCAACCTGTGGGGAGACTATCCCACCTCGGGGTCGCCCGTCCGACCGTCCGAGGGCCTTTTCGGGCGACGGCACTACGATGATAACGACGACGAGGAGCCCATGCTGTCGCCATCCAACTGCTCCTTCGCGCCGAGCATCCGGAGCGTGCAGAGCCACTCGCCGTCGTACAGCCCGGCGCCGCAGCGCCAGCCCTCCTTCAAGTGGCGGCCCTCGCTGTCGGCTGGGCGGGGCGGCGAGGGCGTTGAGTACGAGTACGAAGCGGTGGACAGAGACGACGACCCTTACGCGTACGTGCCCGAGTCCAGCCGCGCCGGCGTGGACGTGGACTCCTTTGGGTCGCCGCCGCGCTTCTCGTCGCCCTCTGCCGGGCCGCGGCAGGTGGTGCCGCCGACCCCGGCGACCTCCGGCCGGCTGGTCCTCTCCCTGTCGCCGCCGCCGCCTCGCAGACAACCCGCGCCCGCGTACTCCAAGTGGACTAGCTACCTAGACTGATAGTCGGTGCACACTATGTTGTCCTTAGTATACACTCTGTCATCTTGTGTTTCGCGAAAACTTCATTAGTTTATTGACCAAGAAATATTTTTCATATTGAAATATTTCTGATGTTTTAGATGCGCAGTTCCTATGACTTATGGTTACGTTT